TTATCACTTTTGGTCCCCCGTGAAATATGTTCCCGTCCCACGCTCTGCGTCACTTACCGAAACCAATGCCTCTCTGCTGATGGTACACTCACGGGAATTTCATGAAATTTGCCTTTTGACGCCTCTTATCAGCTCTAATCAGTCGTTCTTACTTTCTGACCCCCATCAAATATGTTTACGTCTCACCCTCTACATCACTTCTTGGAATCGTCACAACGCCTCACTGCTGCTGGGACGTGCGCCATGAATTTCGGAATTTCGTGGAATCTGCTTCAAGCGCCTCTTATCAGCTGTAATCAGTCGTTATCGCTTTCTGACCCCCACCAAATAAGTGGTCGTCCTGGCTCCTACATCATACTAAAAACACAGCGCCCCATGGCTGCAGCGAAGCGCGCTATGAATTTCGTGACGAATTGACAAGCGCGCACACAGAGACATACTTAGCGAACTATACATAGTAAGGTGATACGCTCATCTCGGTAGGATAGTGACCAAGGTTAATTACAGTATCATATCCTGCAGATCTCGTACATGGGTTCTACCTTGTCGTGGTGTACGAGCTTGAGGCGAGGCCGGAAACCCGTAAGGGTAAGGTCTCGCCGAACCCTCCGACCGGCTCTCGTGACCAAAGAACCCGAAGTGCTCAAGCTCTTGGTGGGACGGCGCCCTCCTTGGGCGACAGGAACGCCCCAGCGAGGCTATCCTGTGAGACGAAACTAACTACGACCACTTCTACCATTCGCCTCAGTCCCCTGCAGACTGTCCCTGCCCAGTACGGTAGCGCTGGACCAGCACACAGTCAAAGGCGAAGAAATCTCAGGGCCACAGGCTACCTTCGGAAAAGGACAAGAGTGAACCACCTGATTACTTGTACTTACAACTGTAGGAGTGTCAGCACGTCCACTCAGCTTTCAACCCTAATTGAAGAAACGCAACGGATATCGTATCATGTGATTGGATTGAGTGAGACTAAAAGAAAGGAATCCTTAACGTGCACATGGAATGACGGGACTGCCATTTTTCTTGGAGCTCGAGAAACAGGATCTACTTCAGGAGGAATAGGCTTCATTGTGGCACCTGGCTTCACGAAATACATAACGAACGTCACGTTTTACAGCCATCGCTTCGGAGTTCTGACTGCAACGCTGACAAAGGATATCAGTATCTCCATCATCCAGGTCTACGCTCCCATGTGCGACAGCAGTGAAGAACAACATGAGGATTTTTATGATGATCTTGGTGAACTGGTACGATCTCAAAAGAGCAGCTACGTAGTGGTATCTGGAGATTTCAACGCAAGGGTTGGATCTCGAAGACAAGGAGAACGTTTCATAGGACCAAATAGTGCGGAACCCAGAAATGCAGCCGGAGAAAGGCTAGCAAACTTCTGTGAAATATTTCACATGTATCATGGAAATAGCCAGTTCATGAAAACGCCTACGAAGAGATGGACTTATGAGTCCCCGAATGGACAATATTATCATGAGCTCGACCATGTTCTTTGCAACAGAAGGGCTATCACAGACGTCGGAGTCGTTCCATCATTTAATACTGGAAGCGACCACCGTCTTTTGCGCGCTAAACTGCATTTTGACCGAAGTCTTGTGCGCCTGACTCGAATTCGATCTAGGCAACCTCGGGCAACAATACTCAATGCAGAGGCAATGCAAATGATGATGAACGATATAAACCTGGAAATGATAGACGACATAAACGATGACTATAATAGCCTCTTAAGCGCCATCTCCACGGTTGCATCTCAGTCTCGCATAGTGGCTCCCAACCACAACTCCCGCCGGATATCAGAAGCTACTCGCAACCTTCTTATGCAGAGGAGACAAATGGACCGCCAACGAAATCATGTTGAATACACAATTCTGAACAGGCTCTGTCGAGTGAAGCTAGCCGAAGATCACAAAAATTTCTCGCGAAATCGTTTGCTGGAAGCTGCAGCTAACAGACGTAGCCTGAAGAAAGCACAACATGGATTAGCACAATACCGCCTCACAATTCCTTGCATAAAAGCCCCTAATGGATTAAGAACTACATCTCGGCCTGAAATTGAAACAATCATGAAGAAGTTCTACTCAGACCTTTTCAAATCAAATTTCCGCACCTCTTCGATACAACTGCCTGCTGGAAACATGGTGCCGTCATTCTTACCGTCTGAAATTCGTCATGCGATTGAAACGATGCCAAAAGGAAAAGCTCCTGGAGCCGATGGACTATCCTTAGAGGCTTTGCAAGCTTGTGGTCACAAACTGTATTGCGCCCTAGCAAAACGATTCACTGATATTCAGTGAATGTGAGGTACCTGAAGCTGGAAAAAATCGAAGACAATTCTGCTGTTCAAAAAAGAGATAAGGAGAACTTGGACAACTACCGACCCATAACGCTCCTTCCAGTTTTATATAAGGTGTTCACGCGTTGTTTACTGACGCGAATGAGAGAGTTTGGACGAGCTCAGCCAGTTGAACAAGCAGGTTTCCGACGAAAATTCAGTACCTTTGGATCACATCATCACTTGCACTCGAGTCATCGAAGCTTCTCGAGAATATCATGAGCCATTAGTACTAACCTTCATCGACTATCGGAAGGCTTTCGATTCAGTTGAACCACAAAAGTTATGGTTAGCACTCAACGAGCAAGGTATCGAACCGCGTTACACAAGAATTTTGAGTGAGTGCTACGCTGGATGTTGCACAGTGATTCGACCATTCTTCCGAGACTTAGAAATAACTATAGAAAAAGGAGTCCGACAAGGCGACCCAATTTCTCCAAATTTGTTCTCTGCTTGCCTGGAATCCACCATCCGACGCTGTGACTGGAATGATCTCGGAATTAAAATTGATGGAAGAAACCTATGTCATCTGAGGTTTGCTGATGACATCGTACTAATCTCAAAATCATCGGACGAAGCTTCTCGAATGCTCAACGACTTAAATACAGCAGGATCAGAGTCAGGTCTAAGCATCAACATGTCAAAACGAAGTGCATGAGAAACGAGTATTCTGATGGAATCCTGTTCTCCTACAGGGCGTCCCTCTAGAAGAAGTCGACGAATACGTCTATCTTGGCCGTCTACTCAACATGAAGAATGACCTCAAAAACGAACTTGTGAGAAGAAAGAAAGCTGGCTGGGTAGCGTATAACTCGATCAAAAGTGCGATTGAAACATGAGAGACGACGAATTGCGAGCAAATCTGTTCAAACTCCAAGTACTTCCTGCTTTGAGCTACGCGTGCGAAACTTGGTCACTAACAAAAAATGTGGAAAACCAACTACGAAGGATACAAGCATCTTTGAAACGTCGAATGGTTGGTATAAGCCTACGCCAACAACGCCTGACCAGGCTGCACAATGAAGACTTACGTAGAATGTCCAAAGTCCGTGATATAATCCTCCACATTGACAAGGCGAAACACCTTTTCGCGGGTCATATAATGAGACGTGACGATGGACGCTGGAGCACTGCTACTGTGCGCTGGGAACCTCGGAACAAGAGACGACCACGTGGTCGACCACCTCTGCGATGGCAAGACTCTCTTGCTCACAGGAACAATTTTTGCGATTCTAATTCAATTAAGGTATTAGTCCACTGGTCAACGACGGCTCAAGATAGAACATCGTGGATAAGAAGTTGGGACCCGCGCAAAAAGAATCGCAGCTGATAACGGGTCGCCAAGTAATCCAAGTAATCCAAGTAATCCTGCAGATTTCTCGAGGAAATTGTTCGTCATGAAGTGACTCCGACTAAACTCTAGCGTGATCTGATACTTCGAAAGTTCTTGCGCCTCCTTTGCTAGAATTTTTCCTTTATGGAAGTCTGATAGCGCTTTTGCTTCTGCCATGAACCAACGAACTTCAAAGATAATTCAATCGGGTGAAAATAAAATGCAGTGGAGAAACATGTGGTGGAAATTGCGGGATAGGCAAAGCAAGAATTTTCGAAAAAGAAAATAAAAATAAGAAATTGTTGCTTTCTCAAAATGCAGTGTTCGTTGATATTCATTTTTGTTGTGTTCTATTAACACAATTTCTCTCCTCTTCTACAGAGCTTTTTCGAAATCGTCCCTAGATGCAAGTTTTTGGGAAATTTGTTTGTGGAATATCGTCATGCCGGGCCTTTATTTCTAGCTGTTAGACTTTGGACCTGACATTACTAAGATGGTATGCAGCAAATGTGCCAGCTATGAAAAATTTTGTGAATGAAATATTCTAAGTGAATAATATCTTACCGATCCAAAGACAAAGGTAGTTCTTATGACACTCATATTAACCTGCTAAATATACACAGTAAAGCAAGCGAATGGTGATGAAGCGGCGGATTTGACCTTCGGCCGCCATTCATCTCAACCACTGTTGGTTACCTACAGCCACATAACAGCACTCCGATGGAGTTATGATCCTTAGAAGCGGTAATGTCTGGCCAGTGACACCATTGCTGTTCTTCTAATTTCAAACGGCCATCTCGAGCCGTCGCTCTTAGTTGTTGGAATACATATTAGAGCCTCGAGCTTTATCTTGAGATTACATATATGCAGACGATTGTTTTGAGAAGTGGAATAAGTAGTGAATCTTCTGAAACAATAATTGCTATATGCGGCTCAAGGAGGCACTCGCTCAAGGCTGTGGCGCACATTTTCGGCGTTAGTGAAAACTGGTCGCCAGGTTTTTCTCGGTGATGGCAAAAAAGCCTTCCGTTATGTATTTCCAACAATGAAGTCTGATTGCGAAAGCTGTTCCGTGATATATCACCTTCTCTAACCCGAAAAAGTTGGTCAATTTGTCAGTCGGCTGCGTAAGTGCATTTAAACCCACTGTGATATTTCGAAATTGAAGTTATTATTTTTGAATCACCAACCTTGTGTGTCTGTTTGTTGGTATGCCGGTGAGAAACAAGGTACAATGTGCTTTCTCTAACGCGCTCTGTCCTAGACGCCGACTAGTTAACACACTACGTAAGATAGCACGTTGAGAAGAGGGGGTTTTCACGTGTACTACTGATTATACCATTTGAACACCCTACTGGAAACAAGAAATAAGTGTGCGTATAGTTCAACATTCCGTGCATGTAATGAGGAAACTAATAGAAAAATCCATCGGTAGTGGTGGAAGATAAAAACTATACCATGCGCGATCAATTTAATGAGATTTTGTGATTGCTATGGTCCACTAAATTCTCTATAACCACTTCTGAGCAAGTCTTAGGCAATTCTTTAGGTGCAGAAATGAGAAGAAATGATTTGCAGCGGTAAAGCAACAATCAATATTATATAATAGGTTCAGAAATCAGTTCGCTGTTGAGTGGCCAGAGGCCAAAATTATTCTTACAACCACCACATTCTTGAGATGCATCGCCAAACCGTCGTACGAGTAAAATGCACGTTACCCTTAACTGCACTCCTCGGAGAAGTTTACCAGTTACGGCACATGCGTGACGGGTATGAGTATTTACAAAAAAATAGCCAACGCAATTCAATGAGAGGCACGAAAGAATCTGTTGAAAATGGAAGGTCTCATGTTTTAACGTTGAAAAGATCAATATGATCTTCGGGAGAACGGTGCGAATTCGAAGCGAACAGGAGTCATGAAATGCTTAAGGATATACATACTGTTGCCACTCAATATGCTTCGAGTCACATTCCAATTTGTAACTTTTGCTCCGTTCATGGCGATTTCGATGATATTGCACCTAAAACATTTGATAAGCAGCGCAAAACAAAGGACAAGCGTGTAAAAACCGACAACCATAATCTTCTTCCAGTCGTGGAAACTAGTTTATCTTGACACTTTTCCAGGAATCACCCTTCAGAACTTGAAAATGCGAGGAGCGGGACAAGTACGCATACAAATGCTGAGCGGAGCGCCAAAGATGGCGAAAATTTGAAGAAGCTAGGCGTTTCTCGGGATTTTACGAAAACAATCCTGAGACCCCCAGAAAATTTCTTTGGATTCCTTGGGGAAAAATTTACGAGTTGCTTTTTTTCATTTTTCAATTTCCGTTCTACTCTTTTTGCTTTTTGCGAGACTTCCTGATTACTTCCTGATTACTTTCACTTCAAGATGCTCTTGAACGCCATCAACTATGGGTCACATTTGGCGTGTTTCCAATCCAGTATCCATCACACAATCGGTCTTCTCCAGTAATTCATGTCAAAGATGTTGTATCGCTTCACACAGAGATAATCCTACTATATGTAATCGGCTAAGCGGTTGTGTGTGTGTCTGACCGGAAATTCATAACTTCACCCCCTTTGGACTTAGAGCGCTCAAACTTCTAGGATATATGGGGGGCCGAAGGTAAACACTGATGACGGGTGGCGGGAAGTGATAACTACTGACAGGATCTGATGACGGACGTCGAAATGTTGATGTCACCAATTTCGTTGCACCGTTTGCATTGACAGTGGAGAGTTTGCACTTATGTATGATATGTGGTATGAGGCGGGGACCAAGAAGTTGAGTGAACGAATGTGGTAGCAACTGATAAGAACTGATAAGGAGCGTCAAAGTGTGGATACCACCAGTTTCGTTGCAGCCCTTGCGGTTACATTGGAACCTTGGCTCTCACATGTGGGAACACGGATAGCGGATGATCAGAAGTGATAACAAGCGGTAACGGTTGATAAGGAAGTTAGGATTTTGAGTACTGCTAATTTCGTTGCAGCCTTTGTGGTTACAGTAAATATTAGCTCCTACATAATGCATAGAGGTTATTACCGAGACACCGATTGCGAACAATACGAACTGATAAGAAATGACAAGGAATGATAAGAGCATTTGAGCAGGTCTCTACAACTTCGTTGCAATTATCAATGGCAAGCGATCAAGGTGGCGAGGGTTGAATGCAGGTGACAGAAAGTGGTATGAGCGGCAACTGTACTGATAAAAGAGCGACAGTTAAGCGTGCACTCAATTAAACCAGGTTCCTAGCACGTAAATATGTTCCATTCCTGCCCTTTCATCTAAAGAAACAAAGAAACAAAGAAAGTTCAGCTGCTCAACTATCTGGACTTGGACCAATAGCGAATTTCCACTGTACTTCCGATTTTCATCATAGCTCAGTTAGAAGCTGATTGATTTTATATTTCACTTACACACCGATTCCTCAATTGTGGGAATTCTATAAACCGCCAAATCCCCCGAGCTCGATATCAATGCTAAATGTTTACGAAGTCGTGATAAGTATCATTTTTATTCCGCATGCTACTGCACGCATTACGCGACAATCTTCAGCGACGAAACTGGACACCCTTTGAAATGCATGTGACGCATCTCCCAAACATCTTACTGTTAGTTTCTCAGCCACGTGACCCAATATTCAGCAAATTGTCCGGTTTTAAAAGCTTACCATGTGATGCGCGCGGATGCGTGCGGAGCTAAACTGATGCTAATAATAATGCACCACCAGCCCCCACCCCCTTGTGCACGTCGTAACATTCTACAGCCCTTTTGAGGCCCTTTAATAAAACTTCATTTCTAAACAAGGTTCTCCTATGTGTATCTTCAAGGATTGAAAAACAAGGAAATAAACACTCGAACGCTCACTTAGCTTCTCCACTTACTTTAACATTCATGTAACACTGACAAGTGGGCCTTTTTGGAAGGGGTTCTGCATAATGTAGGGATATGTACAGTGTGGCAGAAAAGACGTGCGCGCGACTTTTCGCTTCGTTTCAAACACTGCATGAAGAATTGATAGGTGTTTTTTATTGTCAAATTGTTTTCATATTGCTAATTATTGGTTTACAGAAGAAGTAACTTGTTTTCCAAGTTCTGACGAAGACCTGCTTAAATTGAAAATGATTGTGCGCCAAGCAAGCAGTTGGCCTAAAAAATTCGATGAGAACAGTTTTTCTACGACCGTCCCAAGAACTAGAAAGCAAGCAATGAAAAGAACAAAACCATCTCTGAACTGAAGCCGTAATGCATAGTATGAAAACGGACCACCGACAGCTGATGTGCGAGGAGAATTATTGGGAAGAGTAATGACCATAAAAGTGAGCTGAGCATGAGTAAAAGTGCCGAAGAGAACCATAAATTCATATGATTCAAAATGGAGCGCGGAGTGGAATTCATGGTATATGAAACGGGCAGTTTCCCACCTTCCAAGCAAATCAAGATCGAAGGAAAATTTCAAGAAGTTGCGGGATTTTCTCGAGGCGCCGCGGTCATAGGACTTCCTGTGGTTCCACAAATGAAATTTTCCCATTCGAGTGCCTTTTAAACCACTTCTTACTGAAATGCATAGATGATAACCCCACGCAATCGATTTCTCCTCGGAAATTCGACGATTCGAGGCCGAATCAGTGCCTCGGGCAGGCCTCCACAGGTTTGTATCAACAAAAGTCGCGAAATTAATAGAAAGTTCTACTAAGAAGGGATCCTTGAAGAAGACCGAATTCGAAACATTAGACTTCTCTGTTTGGGGTTATGTTCAAGAACTACTATAGAATCGAAATGCCAAAGGTTTGGTGATTCTGAAAAGAACCGCCAAAGTTTGGAATAAGTTATGCATGAACACCTAGGCTGCACCATCAATTCGCTGAAGACGCAAATTGAGACCCACGTCAAAACTGAAGGCAGCTACACAAAATCTTTTTTGCAGTCACAAGATGTCATGGTTGGATGTTTTTTAACTGACTATTTTCAAATTTTTGTTGAAAAGTAATCAAGTTTGGACGTGTTTTACACATAATTTTTCATCATCCTGTCCTGCCGAGGTATGGACCTTGAAAGAATATTCCGAAGAGGGGTGATGATAATCCTCTCGGGAACTACAGTTTTCACAGTCGCAGTATATTATTCATCCATTCGTCAAAAAGTTTTGAAATGGAAATTCCTCGTGAACAACACAAAATACACCGCGCACACTGAGGCTGGAAATAGGGTTGTTCAAGCGATGTATCAAATTATCTCGATTCTTGATAGCTCGTTACTGTTTTCATATTGGCGTCAAATGGCGTCAGCTCTTCAGGTGTCAAGCTCATAATAAAACCTCTGATGCCTTCATGAAAAATGAGGTTAACTTCATGAAGTATCAAGTTAGCAAAGGTCCTTCTGAAGAAATGAAGAATATTCTCTAAATTTCAAGTTCATTAGAATGCAGCACATCTACATCAGTATGCCTCCAATCGACATCATCTGCAGCGTGGTGAACGTTCCAGATCAGGACGATCCCACTCTTGAAGAAGCCTTCTTGACTTTTGAACTATACTCAAACGGCCCTCTAGTGGCAATCCGCATTAGCCACGTTGATCTCATCCCCCGTAAATCTCCATCGACGTTTCCGGAATAGCGCCAAGGATTGTTTCAGTATTACTAGAAGCAGTCTGCGTAATCGGGTAATGGCAGCGGGTGCATCCCTTTATCACACCCGACGTCACCTCACTGTAATCACGTAACTGTTGACCCTTCAACTTCCCTACGCCAGGTATTTTCTGCTTATTGTCGCTGTAGTGAAAGTAGCGAAATGGCTTGCGTAAGATTAGAAATGGATGCCCCTAACATACTGTGGCGCCTCGGAGAACTGTGGGCAGTCACAAGTATCCTTAAGTACCTTCTAGTTGGGTGGGTGCCCAGAATGGGTGTCTCACTCGCAGACTAGAATCTCAGTCTTGCTTTTCCCCGTTTATGATTTACTGCATCTCATGCTTTGCACATCATTGATGAACTTGCTTACCGATGGAACCGCATTGTTTGCCATTATATTTGTCGTTATAGAAGCATATTCGACTTGATTTTCAACTATTTTGGATGCGCTCAAGGGCAGCAATGGTGTAGTGGCAAGTGGTACACTTACGACGCGCACCGTCAGGGGATCGTATCCTGGGTCGTGCCTCGTCCAGTCCGACCAAACCTTCCATTCTCCGGGGTCGTTTATTGGTACCAGACTTGTCTGGGAGAATAAAACGCTGACTTGTACATTAGCTGGCCCCGCAAGTCATTGTATAGGCCAAATCGCATTCAAACGCTACGACGAATGTGCAAATGGAAGTAGAATGCTGGCCGCAATCCCAAAAGGGATTCATCAACGAAAAACGCTTTATAACTCATCCTTCTCCTAAGCTACGCTCGCTACCCAGCGCATGTCGAAATGGGCTCCAGTAGAACTGAGCATAGCCGGGCTCATGATAAGCAGCATGCATGCGTTTAATGGTTCCAGCTGATGTCAGTACCGAGTGATTACTATGGTGCTAAGAATAAAGCAGTCAGTTACTATAGCTCGTCAGCACCAAAAATATCCTCCACCTTTCGGGGACTATCATGACTGAATAAACGTTGGAGAACCACTGCGATTACTTATGCTGCTCACTGTCAGCCCTTAGGTTAGCGCGAACAACTACCATGCTTCGAAAGTTGGATTGGATTAGCAGTTGAATGACCTCTTACCTCGGCATTCAGATAAAAATACCCATACTTATCGTGTTCTCACAAACACCGGTCTTGTGAAGCTCGGGCACTTCACCGGTCAAACGGATCTGGGTGTTTACGACGACATCGCAAGTGAAATAAAATGTTCTCCTTACAGCGCATAGTCCTTGTCAGTGGAAACAGGTTTTGTTACCCACTAAATATAATACCACACCACCGCCCACATCACATATAAGACACAAGGCCTCATTGCTCATTTCTTCCTGGCCACACCTTATATTTCGCGACGTTTGCGTTGCACCCTTTTAGCCCTTATTGAGAGTAATCGTTCGTTGTCACCCACCAAACATGTTCCACACCCCTATATCTTACATAAAGTAACGATTGTTGTCAACGCACTATGAATTTCGTCACACACATACATACATGCATGCACATACAAAGAGAAGTACACATAGTAAGATGTTGAATAAAGGCTTTGCTTTCCTCTCGTTTCGGTACCGGCTTCTCTCCAAGGATTCTTAATAATGAGCCCTGTCAGTGAGAATGACGACAGTACTCCAGAAAATAATTCTGCCAGAATCGGAAAATTGGTGTGCCTCGAACCTGCTACAGCCGATTTTAGACATCCTGTAATTTCTCAGTGACTTGAAAAGTTTGAGGTCTAGATAGGTCGACATGATAACGGTCAGTCGTTGACTTCTGGAAGGATAATCAACTTCCAGAAAAGTCAAACACCGGTTGCTAAACTGTCTAGTGAACACTGAGCAGTGGTTCTAAACAAGTTCCTTTCCGATTTGCAAGCATGTAATTCAGTAGTCTGACAATTGATAGGGAGCAGATATAACCCATTCAACAGACTGAAAGAAACCAATAATATTTATCAGGCCAGCTTGGTCCCCCGTCGACCGCCGGGACCTTCCTTTCTGCGCAAACTCTATATCTTCCGCTGTGGTCACTTCCACCTGTGACACCAACACCTCCTGGAGGTGACACGTAAGAAACACTAAGGAGTTTCATATAGTAGAGGGCATCGCCATAATCATGACATGACAGTAGATATTCCGCCTCCCCTTCCCATCCTCACTTCCTTCCTCCACTGCCCTCCAGCCGCCACACAAAACCATGTGGAATGACCGGAAGTGTGCTAAGCAGGTGTGTATATATCCTTAGGAGTGTTATCATAATTATCCTGCTACAAATCATTGATATCTCAAGTCCTGTGAGCTACCCGATTTGTTAGCGGTGTTTACTCCATGAGCTTCCTTATCACTCACTTCATCTTGCGGACGGACAGACGGACATACATACTTTACATACATCCAGACACACATACATACAAACCGACACACCAAGTTAGCGGTTTATATAATAGAAGGATAACCAAGCATTTGGTTAAGTAGATGCATAGGGAAAATTCCTTGCTAACAAGGGACTTGAGCAAGTGATTGAAAGCTAGGCACCACAGGTTGACCAATTCTTCGTAAATGTTCCTATGAAAAGACTTCCCACCTTCTGCCCATCTGCGCTTACTGACGTCGACCTTTTGTCTGTCGACCTGGTTCTTCTTGAGACATGTTTTGTTAGTCATACTAAGGGCACTATCAGATGTCATATCGAACGATGTTCTTTATTGATGTCACTTCGTGTATAAGGGGTAAATTTCAGGGGTGGCCAAAAAAAGTGATACTCCACTCCACCTTCTAGGCAGCATTAATCACGGTTCACTAATCTCAAACCAACTGCTCCCAAGAAGGAGCACACCCAAATCCATCAATCAACGTTGTAGTGGCTTTCTGCGCCGAGGATACCACAAGAATTTCTCATGGGAACCCCGTGGCGTAGGCACAGTTCGAGCTCAACTGGTCCTCGAGGGATCATTGGCCTCCACGACGTTTCTGAAAAGCTGGTCGAAAGGGGTATTGCACATTTAGAGCTACTGTTCATAGGAAGCAATTCCAGTTAATCAATGAAAGAAATTCCGTAGCAGCTCAGGCTGTAACGATTACTTTATGTTCTTGAGCTCAACGGTGATGGGAGATGATGACAACATATTCTGAGAACAGTGAGGGCAGTGGGAGTGGGCCTGCTTCTACTCATGAGAGAGCATCTTAGGGATATTTTGCCGTAAAACTTTCATCAACAGCGGCACTCCGTGTGATGAAAAGTTTGATGATGTGCGCCATGGACAATGTGTCACTTTTTTGGCCAGTCCTGTACTTCAGATTCTTTATGATTTCTGACCAATGAACCACTCAATACTTCCTGAAAAGCAAAGCAAAGGCACAACTAAAAGTAGAGAAATGACACTCAGCTTACATTTACCATACTCCGGTAGTAGCCTGAGTTTAGCGGATAATCCACTTGACCGTGGAACGTCCGATTGAAGATCATTTCATGAACGCAATCCACAATGGCGTAGTCGAACTCCGGCAACATCTCAAATGGAGCTTTTTTTGCTTTGGCAATGTGAACGGCTGAATCGCTTGAACACTGACTTGAATAAGTGATATGAGAATAATGTAAAATTATGCATTCTCTTTATCACGTTTGTAAGAGCAGTTCAGCCGCGCACGCATTCGCGTGCATCACAAGGGACTGCATTAGTATGAAATAGGGCCACTGACATTTTTGTACCGTGAGCAACTCCTTAAATCCTCGGTGGCGACAACCAACAGCATTTGGCCGCATTCCTTCGCCAACCTTTATTCACTTCTCCCAGCTTCTGGGCTTCCCTTGAAAACACCTGTTATCACGTGACAAGCTCCGCCTACTTCAACGCACGCTCCACTCACCAATAGCAGTTGATCCGCCTTCTATCGACAAACCCAATCAACCTCTTTTCCAGTCTCCAGGGCTTCATGGAACCGAGTTGTGATTTTTTATCGCAAACTCTGCTCTCTTTGATACACACCCTACCCACCGATGGTATTTGATATCCCTTCCGTTGACAAACTCAATCAACCTCTTTCCCGATCTCCAGGACTTCTTCAAACTGTGTTATGGATTCTCGTCGCAAATTCCGCCCTTTTCGGCTATACCCCGCCCCTCATGGATAGTTATCCTCCACTACTTCTCTGCGCTCTATCCTACTTTTTCCGGCTCATCCTTGGAACCGATTTATGAGGACTTGTCAAAAACGCTGTCTAGTTCAGGACACGCCCCCCCCCACTATGGGCGGGCTTCCGATAACGTCATGCATGCTGGGAGCACCTAAAACATCGTTCCCCTACACCAATTTGTTTTCTGCTCTGTAGGATTTCTCCCAACTGAAGTATCAATTGCTTTATTAGCCACTGCCTTTTTGGAGAGCGCCACGCCTACCGTGGGGTCTCCATAATTCGATCTGACTTATCAATGCACACCTTACCTATGTTTTTCCCCCGGTCCCGATGCCGTTTTGGTATAGTATCTGAAATCCAGGTCTTCAGTACCACCCACTTCGACGCACGCCACGCCCACTCTGGGCGTGACTCCGCTTAGCTGATGTGTGATTTGTACTTCTCGCGATCTAGACCACTCATTCCACACTTGACCCTGTCTCTCGAGACGGATCCCAAGAAACTAGGGATTTCCGTGACAGATAGGCACCGCACACACACAGAGACAGACATAGCGCATTATATGTATATAGTGGGATAAGTAGTAAGTTCAAAATATATATTTGATTATTCACAAACAGTCAGGTCATATCTGGTCTAAAACTATACTATTTTGACTTTTTGTTTGTTACTGCTGTTTGACGCGCGCAGCTCGTGTTGCGATGTGTCACAAGAATGCTGGGTTGTGAACAAAACTTTCGCTCCCAGGCGGGACTAGAACCGCAACCTCTCGCTTTCGGGCAAGTGCGCTACCATGAAAAGCTGAGTTGGAACGAAATGGTGCCCGGTAGCGTAACTGTAGCGCACTGCCCGGAAAGCGAGAGGTGCGGGTTCTAGTCCCGCCTGGGGCGAAAGTTTTGTTCACAACCCAGCACTCTTGTGAAACTATCAACCTATTTATTAAAGGAATTAGTCTCATCCAAACCCTTTTATCATCCCTTCCCTTGTCGATGAGCACAGAGGAAAGACACTTCATTTGTTTAATCTCCGTCTGAGGGTACGTGGGAAACGGAGACTAAACAACTTTGCTCACCACCCCTTTCAATGAATTTGAACGAGTTTGATGAATAACATTAACTTTCGGCAACAACGTCGTAATCAAGATTATAATACTAAAAAAGGATTAGTTTGATTGAGCTTGTTTCTATATTGAACATAATAATACCATTGTACGTACTATCATAATATAGTAGCTCGAGGGAATCCCGACGCTGTGTGATGATAGTACTGAGAAGGGATGTATAAATCCTATTTCACGTTTTGTTGCTAACTGCTAAGTTCTACACTATTCTACACATTATGTTCTTTCCTAGAACAAACCAACGTTCGAAATTTGACCAAGTTCTCTTCTGTTTCGACCAACAGGTCGGTGAAGATGTTTCTTCAGCTCGGCCAACTGTCGTCATACATGAGGTGCTTTTCAATACTCTGAACTATTTTGACTTGTTTTTGTTTGTTAACTGCTGCTTTTAGCCGCAGTTCGCCTTGCGAATGTTTCACAAGGATGCTGCTTATGAACAAAACCTTTGCCACAGAAGGGACTCGAACCCATACCTCATTCTTACCGGGTAAGTGCGCTATAAGTTACGCTTCATACCAGCTGGGGCGAAATTTTTGTTCACAACCCAGCATTCTGTAAAACATTTGCAAGGCGAACTGCGGCCAAAAAGAGCAAGCACGTTAACAAACAAAAAGAAGTCGAAATTCATTGCTAAAGCTTTCAGTCTCGCGGTCATTGCCGATGTCGGCTAAAAGGCTCAACGCATTATACGTGTGAGTGCTGACAAGAAATGGTAAGCACACCATCGAGAGCTGAGTTGGGATGAAATAGTTCTCCGGTAGCGTAATTTGAAGCGCACTTGTCGGGTTGCCCGCAACCCAGCATTCCTGTTAAACCCTAAATTATGTTATTCAAGTTTCTTACCTTAATTATATACTTAGTGAGTTATAGCAAACCAGTTTTGCTCCGCCCGCTATCGTGCGCATGTCAACATAGGCTTCAGTGAGACTGTGTACAACTGGGCTACCACTGAATAACATACTGCCTTGAATGGATTCGACTGATGGTATTCAAGAAATCAGATGATAAAGCAGTAATTTCTCATTTTATCAATACGAAAAAAATTCCATCAATTTTATGGAACCAGTCTAATAAGGTCAAGCAGCCGACTGAGAGCTGGATAAGTGAAACAATTACTCGGGCTACTCATTACCAGTTTTAAGCGTAAAGATCTACCATGCTTTGGATATTGGGATGGGTCAGCGGTCGAATAACTTCTTATGGCGGAGATCAGACATAATGGGTTGATGCACAATAATAGCGTTTTTTTTCTCGAGCTACAGGCTCAGTGGATACAAGTATACCGAGGAAATTACATATAGCGCGTCCTTTGCGCATACAAAATAAATAAATGAATAAATAAATATATCATTTGAAAGTACTTCTTTCTCTCTACAAAACCTAGTTTGTCATTCCTCCATATTGTAAGTGTACTCAGATGTGGTGCTTAGAAGTTGGAAACTCATGGTAGGCGAAAATCTATATAAAGAAAAGGCTGCCAAAATGGGATCTATCGATCATCGAAACTTACTCCCATCGACCCTCAATAACAAATCATATTTACCTCGTACATATTGAGAATGATGAGGACTCTGAAAACGGGCTCAGTACCTTTTTTTAATTCTGGACCTGGCAATCTTTCGCGAAATGGGATCGAAGTCTTATACAATGACGAGAAGTACATCACTGATCATTATCATGCTTGCTTTGCTTTTGGGTTTTGCTTTCGAACGTTTTTTGCCGAATTGCGAGCGCCTACGACACCAACGTCCACCAATTATCAAAAGTATCTTTTGAAAGTACCTTCCATGTGGTAACTTGCTGACGAAACTCTTTCGGCTACGATGGACTTGAGTGATCTATAACCATAATCTGCAAGATTTCGAAACAAACCAGGTTTTTCCTGACTGCAACGTCGCATTCATCTGGAGTTTAGGACTTGCTGCACGCAAATCCTCCCCGCTAACTGAAGGACAATCTCTGAGTTCAAGACGAACCCCCACAAATTTCCATCAAATGGATCATCTGTCTCATTCGCCAACAAAAGGAGAGTCATCAAATTCGAAACAGGCTCGGTACCCGTGAAGGATACACCCGCGTCTAATATCCTTCCTGCATCCGTGCTAACGGCCAATCTCAACTTTCATAGTGTGGCAGAACGTTGAATCCTTATACAGCACGCAATTACCTCACTACATTCGGTTGCGAACTAGCTCCACTCGAAAAGGTCACCGGCGGCGGCCGGCCGCGTATGTGCGTGTTGAGTGATGTCATCAACGGCGGACAAGGCAACGTAGCACAGGGCCAGCTTCATCCACGTTTACGGACTACTTGATTCTCCTTCTCAGATTGGTTCCTTGCTGCGACATGGCTAGTGCACAGACATTAGAAAATGGGTGAATGCCCGAGGACCAAGCCTTGGAACGGATAAGGGACCTGCGAGAGAGTGTCAGAGAGGTTTAAAGGGGCAGATGTTCAAGTAGTTAGCCGTCGACCGCTTTTCACGTGCAATTACTTCGCTCTTAGTACTGCCGGCTCTATCGTGCTCCTTACTATCACTGTGTGATAAGTAGCAGTCAATTGGAATTTGTAATCACAAAACACAGCAGCTCAAATTCCTGACAAACTGACGCTAAGGGTCTCCAATAATGCCGCACCTTCGCTTTCCAGTCTTGCGAAATTTGGAATTCCTAAGGCAACGGATGGTACCTGATCTTATACAATAATTCCGTCTTTCCTTCAAACGCAACAAGAGCCGGCGCTGCCACTGCTTCCGCTGCTTCCTTCGAATTATCGTCGCACCTGCGAACTTCATTTTTGACGTCATCTAACTACACGACGCGTCCGCCGCGCCGGTGACCTATTCATCTCCCGCCCACCCCGCAAGCCTATGCAAAGCAGGAAAAAAAAGGAGGACTTACAGAGGAAGAGGCAGCAGTCTTGGGTGAAACGGCAAGAGGCTGGCAAGAGTTATTATGCAGTGCAACTTTTGTCATGTGATAGAAGAGCCAAGTGCTGGCTTCCATACGCTCAGATAACGCGGCACACTGCAGTCCGAAGAACAATGTAGAAATCCTAAATTAAGTTGTCTCAGGATCTCGAAAGGATTCCGTCATGACGGTGTCCACTCGTCGCACTCATTCTTATGATTCGTTCAATCGCAGAATGCTTTCTGTCGATGAAGACAGCTTCACTTGAACATGACATACCATGGAGCATCCTCCTTAGTTCCGAATAAGTACGGTTCTCGAATCTAAAGCAACACGCAAGTGATATTGTATTGGACAATTGGGCAGGTATGTAATGTTAATCGATGTGAATTGAGGAAACTCTGCTAGGATACCCTTTCTCGCGCAAATTTTCAGTGGACTTGAGACGGAAAACAGTGATAAGATAGCAGAGGAGGAGAAGCTAAATTGTTCTAGGTCGGGCGTGCGATACATACCAAGGTAGCGAGTTTGCACACCAGCTTATAACTGCCGTTTGTAGAGGTTCGGTCACCGGGAAATAAAAGGATAATGGTTGCTGGAGAGTAAGGGGTGAGCTCTATGGCGGCGGGCATCGTCAAAGAGGCGGAGTTCCTACGTGACTTCATAAAATCGCTCCAAAGTTTCGGAGATCGGAAAAGTAGAAAAAAGTAGGTTGGGGAAGAAATGAATGTCAACTGCTATCGGTTGGCATGCACTAAAGTGGGCGGGATTTGCCACGATAATACATGGCTCGATTGCGCCCTGCAAAACCTCATAATTCGGTTCCGAAATGAACAAGAGAAAACGTGTACAGAAGTCAAAAGAGGTGAGGAGGTCAAATGTCAGCGCCGGTCGTGGCATACATTGAAGTGGACGGAGTTTGCCACCACTCTTATAACTTGGTTCCCAGAAGTCCCAGGCCGGGAAAAATCTGGATAACGGTTGACGGAAGAAATGGGGTTACACGCTTTGGGTGGGCTAAGCATGTACCAAAGCGGGCTGGGCTTGCCAAGAAAATTCATGACTCATTGCGTCTCCTACAAGATCTCATGATTCGGCGTCGACATGACTCAGTGACCGGAAAAAAGTGTGTAGAGGTTAGAAGAGGAGGAGAGGTCAAATGTAGGCGCCGGACGTGGCAAACAATGAAGTGGCAACCAGTTTGCTGACTAAGAAGTCCCGGAGAAAGGGAAAAAGTGGATAGAGGTCAACGAAGGAAGCCAACTGCTATTAGTGGGCATGGCATGCGCGAAAGTGGGCAGAGTTATCCACGGCAAGTTGAAACTTGGTCTCAAGAAGTCCTGAGGACCGGGAAAAATGTGGGTCGAATTTGACAGCGGAACGGAGGTCAACTGCAATTAGTAGGTGGAGCGAGCGTAAATGTGGGCGGAATTGCGCCAAGATTAAAATAAGTTTGTATGAGGCTTTAGAGACCGGTAAAAAAGTGCATGGAGGTCGGTGAAAGAAGGGGAGTCAACTGCAATCAGTGGGCTGGGCATGCAGTGGGCTGATTGGAAAAGAAGGTGGTCAGAGTCCGGCAACGGAGCGGTGGTCGGCCGCAATTAGTGGGCGGAGCATGCGCCAATGTGGGTGGAGTTATTGAAGAAACATCACAGCTTGGTTCCAAGTGTCCCGGAGACCGGGAAAAGGTGGAAAAAGTACGACAACGAAAGGGAGGTCGGAAAGATGGGTATGAGCGCGGAGCGAGTTGAGCGAACTTGCTGGAAAGCCTTAAAAAATATTGATAGCCTGTTTAACACTACAGCTCATGTGATGCACGAGAATGCGTGCGCAGCTAAATTGGTATTAACATACCTTATTCGCCATTACAGTTGGATATTGTGACAGGAGTTGGAAATCTTCTATTCCAAGTATACAAATTGCTTTACGAGCATACTGCGATCGACAGAATTCCTTCCCGCGATAATTCCAATGCGACATCCTGAACCTTATGAGTATACAAGTCTCGTGGAAGGAATGAGTGCATAAATAATGAAATTGTGACCTTCAAAACTCATGACGAACTTCTTTAGCATTCCGCTTAAAGGACGAATTCACGCTGGGAAGGCAACCATTTCAAATTAACTCAGGGATGGTGATTGGTACACGAAAAAAGGGAACCATGAGAAACGGCCCAGAACCCGAGAACTGGGACCTCTTCCTCCCCCCTGATTTGCGCATTGATGCGACTCTTATCGCTGTGCCCTCCTCAACATCACGCTCACTCTGCTATCTAATCAATCCCAGTATAGATCTGCGGAGTGATGCAGCTGGTCTGGTGGCCGAGATCGCCAGACGCCGCAACTTTGAGCATACTAGGTCGCGGACGTAAAATTTTTTTGATGCGCAGTTGCGGTGGGTTACTCAACTAAGTGAACTTCTTTTTCGACCTCCGTTCTAATCGTAAAATCCTCCTTTAAAGGACGAATTTGCGCTGGAAAAGCAACCCACTCCAAATTAACCTGGGGATGGTGAGTGGTACACGAAAGAAGGAAGAACCATGAGAAACGGCCCAGAACCCGAGAAATGGTACCCCTTCCTTGCCCGTTGATTCGAGCATTGATGCGACTCTCATCGCTGTGCCCTCTTCAACACTACGTTCTCTCAGCTATCTAATCACTCGCCACGTATTGAACGGCGAGTGATCAGATGACCGGTGGGCGGAGATTGCCGGACCCGCCAGCTTTGAGGCATGATAGGTCGCCGAGGTCAAATTTTTCCATGCGAATCGCGCGTCTGTTCGCACCCTCAATAGGCCCGTGGGTCCCTCAACTAGGTCACTCTCCCTTTCGTCGACCTTCATTCTGATCGCAAATTCCTCCTTTAAAGTACATAGGAGAAACACAAGCTTCACGCAAATCAGATGATTGAAGAATAAAAGGCTAAAAATGGTGCAGTGATAGATCCGCTATCAGGATGCCCTGCGCACTGTACTTTTCCTCTGAATCGTAGGGCTTTCTGAATGCGGCTTGGCCTGGTTCTAAGGACCAACCAATGTACCATGTCAATTTTTGCCCCACGGGCAAGTCTACTATTACCTAATAGACAAGGTGGACAGGTTTCTAGAGCCTGGACGGTTACTATTTAGGATCCGATTACAAGACTATGCCGCTTGTGATAAATCACCTCCTCCATCAGCAACGGACGTTTACGTTCAAAAATATGAGACCGTCATAGATTACTAACTAACTGCAGCTCTTCCTTGCAGAGTATGCCTAGCCACTTGTACGTGTAACCGTTTAGTTATCGACGATGACTACACTATCTTTTAGCTGCAGCATTTTTAGAAAAAAGAACTACCGCTCTTCTACTTCTGCTCCCTTCAGGCTACTTAATGAGTCCGTTTTCAACGAAAACTGTGCCCGTAGAGTTTCAGCCGGTCTGAATGACACAAACCTGCTTATAAAGTCGGTGTTCTTGCCTTGTTTCAGACATTCGGACGTGAAACGTCCAGGCATTTCGAACTCTTCGGTGATTTGTAACGATTGTATCAGGATTTCATCAACGCCAAACGGCTGTAAAGAAAATTTTTAAACGAAATTGGCACGTCTGTCAAATCAGCACTGAAGAAAAACTCCATCAATCATGTTACGCGTAAAACAAAAGCGATCAGAACCAAGTTATGGAAAGCTATTACTTCAATGCGCGTCAATTGTATATGCCACCCCCTATTTTTATGTCTTCTGACTTTTTGGAAATTCGTAAGTCGGCATAGCAACCATCGTGCCGGAATACTAAGACTGTTGTTATTCGATTTTGGTCAACGCGCTGATTTGGGTTGCTTTGTTCTTTGAAAGAAAATGTGCCGTCAATTGCTTATGCCATCCTAAAATTTCCGGAATTTCGCATGTCTCTAACGCTATTTAGCT